TACATACATACATACATACATACATACATACATATACATACACTAGAAAAATGAAAAATCAAATAGTTTCTTGTAATTGATTTTAAATATGCTGCATATTTTATAGAAATGTTTCGAATGTGGCAGTCACAATCCACAATGGGTATCTGTAACATATGGCATTTGGATATGTCTGGAATGCTCTGGCAAGCATCGTGGTTTAGGTGTGCACTTGTCGTTTGTCCGCTCTGTCTCTATGGATAAGTGGAAAGACATAGAACTGGAGAAGATGAAAGTCGGTGGCAATAGGAATGCCCGAGAATTCTTTGACAGTCAACCTGACTGGGATGAATCTATGTCCATCTCGCAGCGTTACAATACAAAAGCGGCGGCATTGTATAGAGATAAAGTAAGAAAATTTATATCCTATTACTTTTATATAAAAATCTGTATTTTGATGGGCTCAAAAATTTTATCAAAATTAATCCTGAAAATATCTGAGTGTTTAAAAACACTCGTAACATTGTAAATATAGGATAATATAGGACCGTTTAAAGATTTTTATATTTATTAGGATCATTAAAAGTTGTTTTAGTCTGTTTAATTATATATTTTCTTTGTCTAGATTGCTACGCTAGCAAGAGGAGAGCCTTGGAGTCCAAGTAGTTCGATAGCAAAAGATTTCCAGCCTTCAACATTCGTTAAAAGCAGACAAGAATACTCATATCAAAATGATTCATCCTCATCTTATCAAAATATGGACTCAAATAGTATGAAGATACAGACAGAATCTTTTTTCGCAAAGAAACAGACTGAAAATGCCAATCGTCCAGAGTAAGTTTACATTCATGTTTCTGTTTTCTATATTTGTATACAATTACTATATGTGTATATAGTTTTGAATCTTTAGTATATTGCAATTTATTAATCAGTTGTATAGATTTTATAAAATTTATATTAATACATTGTTTGAATATAGATGATCAATATAACAAATCTAATTTATATATTTACATTTAGAATATGTGATAAACATAATATATATGTATAATATATAATGTATTATAAAAATATTAAACAAAGGGTGTGTGTGTAAATGAGTTTAAATGTTAAAAGAATTTGCGTGCATTTATTAACAATGAATATCACAAAAATATATTTTTGTAAGAATTAAAACATACTTTAAACATACTTTAAAAGATAATCGAAATATTTATAACCATCATCTTTTTTTAGTAATATCCCTCCTAATCAAGGTGGTAAATATGGTGGCTTTGGTTATCAAATGGATCCACCACCCAAAAGTTCATCCCAAGAACTGTTCGATACTGCAGTTTCTTCGTTAGCAACTGTACAATTTATTATGTACACTAAATTTATTCTGCAATTAACAAATTAATTATCTATTATTTTTCATTATTGCAGGGTTGGTCAATATTCTCTTCCTCGGCATCGAAAATAGCAAGCAAAGCTACCGAGAATGCTATCAAAATCGGAGGACTTGCAACACAAAAGGCAAGTGCTCTAATTCTGAAAAAGAATTTTGAATATAATAATAAATTAATAAAAAATTAAAAATTTATTTCTTCTTTTACTTTTTAAAATATTTAAGAATTACAACTTGTTATTTTGTCTAATTTTCCTTATTTATCTTTGATTATTAAAATTATTAAAATTATGCTTAAATTCACTTTTATTAATGTTCCTTGTATTAACTCATTATAATTCTATTAATTTTTTAAAATGTTACAGTTTTATTTTATTTTTCTTTTTCATTCACGTTATTAGGTTCGTGATGGCACATTATTAGAGGATGTAGGAACTCAGGTCAATCATTTGGTTACAAAGGTATAAATTCTGTTGTTTATTTTTTTTAACGACATTTCAGTTCTCATTGGATTAAATGATAGATTAAGAAATGACTGTTATAAGTTAATCATAAGTGAATGCTAAAAAATAAATTAAAAAAAAGTAATACACAGGTTGGAGATATAACAAGACGAGGAGGATGGGGTGACATTGCTGGGACCAATTCAGCTGAACAACAAAGACAATATGATTCCACAGACCGATATCAATGTTCTAACATGTATCAGAATAGCGATTCGATACAATCAAATCGCTCCAATGAGAAATCGTCTCTTGTAAGAAGCTCTAGTTCAAAGTACGTTTTTTTAAATTTTTAATATGTATAAAAATTTTGTATTAGATAAGTTTTATTAAGCTCTTGCGCTAGTAAATTAAAATTGCAAAAAATTATTCTTTAATTGTTCCTTATTTCAGAAGCAACATTTCTGCTGGAGATTCCTCCAATACCTCGAACTGCGATTGGGATTGGGGCAACGACACGAAACAAACAAGCAAGACAGTAACCTCGAAAAAACAGCCGAAAGCAGAGAAGAAGGAAGAGTCATTGATAAATTTCGAAACGGACAATAAAGCACAACAGGATTGGAACTCAAAAGCGGAAGATGATGCCTGGGAAATATTAAATAATTGACTCTGATATCACACTAGCGCAAATTAAGGAATGAGGACGGTATATGTTAATCTTAAAAAATATTAAAGAGAATTAAAGAGAGGATGGATATATGCTCTTACAAGAGATGTATTTCTTACAAAGTATCCCATTTTCCTTGTAAAATAGGGTATAATTTTTAATAATGTAATACGATAAGTTAAATTGCAATTATTAACATATTAATCGTTCAGTATAAAAAAATTATCCATTTCTTCAATAATGTAGTCTTTTCTATGGAATTTGAAAATATTCACACTTCAAGTCTCAAGAAAATTAAAGAATTCGATATTGTAAAGTGTATTTAAAATTAACGTAATCCTTAGATCTAAGACGAGCTATTTTTTATTGTTTTCGTATCCAGCGTTATTTCTGAAAGATAATCAATAATTTTGATGAGTTCAAAAATTTTATCAAAATTAATCCTGAAAATATCTAAATGTTTAAAAACACTCGTAACATTGTAAATGTAGGACCGTTTAAAGATTTTTATATTTATTAGGATCATTAAAAGTTGTTTATACGGATTTAAAGATACTTATATTATTTTTACGTCAACATTGTATGACCGGCATACAGTTGTACATGCATTGTAATTAGAAAATTAATTATAAAAAACTTAATAAAATTTATTTTAAGGAAGTACAAAAATATTCCTTCTATAACGAAAATATCTGTGGCAAACAATAGAATATCAATTGTTAAATATGAATAGACACAATTTATATTATCGTTAATAAATAAAATGAAATAATTACATATATGTATAGAGAAAAATTGTAATTTATTTTTTAAATTAAAAGATCCTAAAACAGATATCTTCTAAGGATTAATATACAAAAATTAGCAGAAATTAATTTTTTTAATATGTTCTCCTGACTGCTGATCTGCTGTAGATATGCACTGCACTTAAATAATTAAGGATATCCAGTTGTGTACTTGGCCATACTTCTTCTATTACATCTGATAATAGTTTGTATAAAACTTTTGCAGAGCCATTCGAGAGACATGGAATTGGTTGATTCGTCATGACTTGGTAAAGAAATCTATATATTTCCCTACAAATCATCCATCAGTTATTGTTTTTTTAATAATTTTATGAATTCAAATTTAGTTATTCGATATAAAGAAAAAAGGATGAAATAATAGATATGTTATTTAATAATGTATCAAACATGACAAGATTAAATATATATAAATATATATATGTATGTATGTATGATGTGTACACACATACACACACACACAAAATCATGAATTTTGAGTGACATTTTTTATATTATACCTAAAGTTGCATTCTGCATTTTCCTGATCAGACGACGGATGCTGTTCATAGAATGAGATTAATAACAATGCTAATGGTACGTTACATTCGTTTTTCTTGAATAAATCACTATGTAGCCAATTGACTAATGTAGGTTTGTTCTTAATAGCATTCCCTGCCAATTTAATTGCAGAATCCATTGTAGAATGGCAATCTTCTGTAGATATATCTGAGAAAATGTTAAGAGGAAGATCTCGAGGTCCATATTTGAAGAAATCATTCAATATTGTAATGATGTCTTCTTTCTTGCCAAAGGAAAGATCTTCTTCATCCGACGTATCATTGTCGGAATTATCTATCTCCATTTTAAATATTACTCTGTTGAAACGATAACACTACTAAAAAAATATACAAATTTACTTTTTTTTCTATAAAATATTTCTATAAAATTTCTATAAAATATTTTTTAGCTAAAAAACTATTAAGCTAATTCTAAGCTTATTCTGAGAATAAAGATTTCGGTGAAGAAACAAATAACAAATAATCGCAGTCAATTATAATATGAACAACTTATGTTTCTCTGTCACAACGGACTGTGATTTTTTTCTAAAGTTCTTTTTTCTAAAAATTTGATTATATTATTTAGATAATCGTTTTACGCGATTTAATGTGCTAATCATTGTACAATCTATGCGTTATCACAATAACAATTATGAAATACGGCGGGTTAAGGTTAGGTTTTTTCATGAAGTTTTAGGAAAAAATTAAAACATACCTTTTGAATGAGAATCGCACTAAAATATACGATTTAATTTTTTCTATTAATTAACATGCAATTGATGTATTGTCATTACTGTAATTATGAAATATAATTTTCTCGCAATATAACACCTCACTCGTCGCATTCTCAGATTGCAATGCCTTGAAGTTGGCGAGAGCGTATGTAGCAACCAATCATATATGCGGTTTTGAATTGTTGCAGCGTTTTGAAGTTGGTAGCAATCGCGGAAAGAAGTACGCGGCAGCCAATCACGTGCGTCTTTTTGGAAAATTGCATTGTGCTAGACGCTATTATTATTATTAAACAGATTGTCACTGTATGCCTGTGTACGTACACATCACACACGTGCAAATCGATGTTGTGTTCAGTTGTGTTTACATCGTGATCGAGACGTCGGTTTTTGTGAACTTCGGGGAACGAGGTGATCCCTTTTTCCCAACGAATGTTTATGACCTTGTATTACAAAGCTGTCCAACCTCGACGAGTGAGTATTTGAGTCGCGAGAGAAAGCAAGATTAACGAATGTCTTTGGATAGGTGAATGAGTTTTTGATTACAAGAAAAATCCGATAATTTGAAAATCTAATCCTTATATTATTTTTCTTCATGGAATTATAAAATGGAAATTATAAATGAGTTCTGTTAAGCCATAAATAATTGATTACGAGCCAAGAACAAGCAAAGGATGTTACACAAGTAGAAAAAAAATAAATATTTTCTTACGTAATAAATAAAATCGAAGAATAGATTCCAACTTTACATGTATCTATTTCTATTAATATAAATTAAATTTCATCTTGATTTAACTTTTCATCTTTTTTTAGCTACAAGGATTAGAAAGAGGTAAAGAGCAAATTAAAGATTTCTTAATAGGAATAGACATTACTTCAGTCACAAGATAATTAACATAACATAACATAATTAACATAATTAACAGTAAAATTTGAAAAAAATTTATCCAATAATAAATCCAATCCAATAAATCCAATAAATTAGTGACAAACAACACAAAATTTAAGATTATAATTCATAAATACTAAAAGTAAATAAATACTTATTAAAAGAAAGAATTTAGCTTTGACTTTGAACCATTACTGTTGCAAATCTGTTAATGGCAATGTAAGAAATTTTCTTGAATTTTTATATATAATTAAAAAATGAAAAGATTATCAGTCTAAAATTCTGTTAATAAATATTGTTATTAAATACTGTTAAGAAATTTTCTTGAATTTTTATATATAATTAAAAAATGAAAAGATTATCAGTCTAAAATTCTGTTAATAAATACTGTTATTAAATATTGCTCATTATGTCTTTCTGTTGAACATAGTCTCATAGGCTTATCTATATTGAATTTTTTTTTCTACTAATATAACATTCTTATTTGCTCGGCTGTTCAATTAAATCTTTGTTTATTATTACAAAAATGAACCAGATTTTTCTATTATTAACTTATAGATATTTTTGTTTTTTAAACTAAATTTCTAGCAATATAAGAATCACGAAACAATCATGCTAACATTTAATTTTCGAAACATTAATGTTGCGTATAGTTTACTTAATTCAAAAACAAGAGCAGAGAATTCTATTTGATTTCCTTTATGTAAGAGTATATTTTGCTTTGTAATGTTCAATGATTATATTTAAAAATTTTAAAAAATTTGCAAAGATTTTTGAATATAATAAATTTATTAAAAAATAACAATAAATTAGAGAGGTGTTTGTTACAACATGAGATTATCTTGTTTTTAGAAAGGAACAGAAGCGAGCCAGCATGCCGGAGCCTGTGAATCACCAGGTGAATGCCGCTCGTAAGACGTTCCAGACCTTATATCAGATTTCTAAACTGTTGAACACCAATCTGGATCCAACTACCCTGAGCATCTGCATTAGACTCTGTGAGAACGGAGTAAATCCACATGCCCTCGCGACCGTGGTAAAGGAACTTCAGCGAGAGGTCAAGGCGATGAATGATGCACAGTTGGAATCCTCCAAAACTAATGCGACCAAATGACCATAAACAAGTACGATACCTTCCATAGAATCTCATTTCACATTGTCCAATAAATACTTTTCAAATGTATAAATAATGTATAATATATTTTGTTTATTATGTAAATTAATAAATGCACAATATTTATTTAATATTCAATAAAAACTTTGTTCATAGTGCCTATAAGAGAAAGAAAAAAAATTTGTAAATAATACTTCTGTATAAAAATAATGTAGAAAATAATGTAGTAACAACGTATGAGCGCCTTTGAGCATAATTGAACCGAGATTATAATTCAACTTTTGTCTTGGCACTTGACTTTTTCAGCGATTCATCAACTATAAAATTTTGCCCTGGCTAAAAAACAAAAAATCAATGGTTACTTTATCTTTCATAAAAGAATTTGCAAACACAGAATTTATTAGTACGTCATTATTACCTTTAACCGTGGATAATACGACTGCCCATCAACAGTAATTTGAGTTATCTCAGAATGCTGTAACAAATAATTTTTGCCCTCAATAGCCTGAGATCCATCGTGGAACATGAATATGTAGCGGTTATTTTCAATTGGGTATCTACATAATAAACATTTTTACTATTTTTTTTATCCTGTAATATTCTTGAAATCTTCACATAATAGCATGTAACAAAAAGTTCTACCTTTCTACAGTGATATGATTATTTTGCAAACCAGTTTGCCAGATTTGCGTCATGATTTCAGCCTGCTCTTTGGAGACATCTGATCGAAGATCTACGAACATCATGACATTTCTTCCTTTTTTTGTCACTTGTATCATACTTTCTGGATTTTTTATATCTAGCTATATGATAGAAGTTTTGCTCATTAAGACAAAATTGACTTGGTTGACCTTTAGATCAATATCTATAAATTCTTAATATAAAAAACATAAACATAATGAAATAACATGTTACCTTGGACACATCTATCTTTGGATTAGGTTGCAAATATATTGGCAATTCATCTGGTTCCAGGGGTTCTTCGTTTTCCTATTACATATCATATTAATCAAAGTCTACTTTGTTTACATTGTAACAGTCATATTAAGAAGAAATAAATTTTTTTTATTAATCTGAGAATTCGGTATAACGGCCATACTTCCCACTGATCCAATAAATTTTCCATATCAGCATCTGTATAGTCACGTATATCCTTTTCCTTCCACGATTTTCTTTTCTTCTCTTTTGAGACCGATGTTGTCACTATAGCAAAGAGCACAAGACACGAAATGATAATCCTTGATATCATTTTAAGCAATTGATGAGGAATTGTGTCTTTATCAGAAATAATTTTTTGTGATACGCTCTATGAACATTCCGCAAACTTGTATCTCTGAAAATTTAAAAGAAATCTCTTATTTTATTCGCTTTGATTCACAACCGGAAATTGACTGAGCTTTCGAACGTTGTAGGACCATTTAAATTGCGTCGATTAATATATATTTGAAGTTACATCAATTTCAAAATACAATAGAAGAACAGAAATATATGAAAGATCTAAGAATTTTAAATGTAATAATGACGAAATGCGTGAGAAATATTTAAAATATATCGCGCCGATTTACTACCTCTTATCAATCGTCCTTCAGCTCCAGTCATCTACGATCATCTACGTCATATCATTAGTAGTCAGGTCAGAAGATGTCGCGTTGATCGTCGCGTATCAATTGAAAGGAGGGAAACACATAGTTGAGGAGTAAGGCCGGTATTCATAGTCGATTCTTATTTTAAGACCATCCTAAGTGATGTCTTAATATGCTAATACGACTTTGTGATTGGTTGATAATCTCTTAAGACAATACTTAAGCAATCTTAAATATAATAGGCTTTCTACAATAAGCTATTAGTAATAAAGCATAAGTCAGAAACTAAAAATTGACCGCATTGATTAATTGGCCGAATTATTCAAACGCAATTGGTCAATTCTCTCTCCATCCGAGATCTCGGACCGATTTCTAGTATCATGGACACAAGACTTAAGATTTGACTATGAATATCGGCCTAAAAAAAGATCGTTGCGTCCATCTTGGGCTGCGTTTCGAAATTCACTGCCAGTACTGAAAATCTATAATATACGTGACTTAAAGCATATATTTTCTATATTGGCAGTGAATGTCGAAACGCAGTCTTGATACCACAGATTAAAGTCTGAGGTACGCAGTGCTATTTTTCATGTTAATTCGCACGCGATCTAAAGCCTGTTCTTTTTAACTGAATTTTCTTCTCTAATGTGAGGCAAAAAAAAAGACAAAAAGATGAACGATGCAAAAGTTCATTTGAAAAAAAAATTATTTATAATGTAAGGATATTAAGATATTAAGATAAAGATATATGGATGAAGTGAATTCTTTTAGCCGTTAGAAATAAAAAAAGAAGAAAAATCGTTGCGACCATCGTAGTATTTTAGCTTTTTGTCTATAGAAAAATATATCAATCGGATATACAAGAGCTCATTAAGCGCTCGATAAATGATTCTGGTAGATGCATCTAGTAGATGCATATTCTTACATTTATGTTTAAGGTCTATTCTCAAGAACTGACCTACAATATACGCGACATAAACTATAGATTTTTTTGCACCTTAATGACCGCACAATCATAAATTGGACCTTATCAGATTCTCTCTTGAGAGTCCCATCCAATGGCGGATAATTGAGACGGCGACGGGGGTGACCTACGCGTTTTCCGTATATATAGCGTAAAAAAAGAAAGAAAACATAGAAACGAAAGGCTCGTTGCATTCGCTATATCGTTCAACGCTCAATGCTATGCCGTTTGCCGTCGCAAACCTGGTGAACGTTGCAGACGTGCCACACTTCTCGGAAGGAAGCGAAGCGCCCGTCGTGCGCGTATTTACATATACTAGCAAGTATGCATCCCGGCTACTCCCCGTCCCTCCCTCATTCCGCGACGAGCGATCGCGGGGGACGAACATAACCTCCGAGCGATTTACGCAACGCATTTAGAATCTACGAGGATTCGCTCGCTCATGAGCGACGATCGCGATCTCGCGATTTAGACGTCTATTCGTTTAAAACGAGAAGCAATAGGTAGGAACGCAAACGATCATCGTACCACGACAATAACGACGATCCTTCGCCTCTCAGCGAGGATTGTCAATAATTAGGATCCTCAATGACGCTATTTGCGCGTTAACGAATGCTGCTTGTAGAAGTAGTTAAAACGCTATTATCGCACGTTAGATAAACTGTATCGATATATATTGATCGATTACTACATCTATATTTGAAGTATGTTAATATAAATATATAGATGTGCACGTGAGTACAGGCTCACATGATTCACATCGGAAAGACATTTGCATATGCGTGTCGGTGTTGGGTTATTCAAAATATAATTAATTAAATTCATTTCTCTCTATTAATTAAAATGTTATTTTATGCAATTTTACAGATAGTAAGTATGACTATATCAATGATGTCATCGAATTGAATCATGGACATGTCGCTTACTAGCAAATCAGATGTTTATGTGGTGTCTCGAGAAACCATTGCTAAACCCATCTTTATGGAGAATGAACTAGAGCAATGCACAGTTTGGTTGAATCATGAGAGTATTGGGGAAAGTCCGGTAAAGAGTTGATACATGATTGATTTTTAAGTTGATCAACTTTGATAAATTAATAAAGTTGCCACATTTTACAGATTGTTAAGGAACAGTTAGTTACAAATGGACAATCAGAGGATAAAGTTGATCATCATACAGAGGCAACTATATATTTTGAACAAACAGCAGATCTGGACAGCTGTGACAATGAGTCCAATGATTTTGAATCATCCAGTGCTGCTGTTTCAAAAGCAGATTCGATAAAAGATTGTGATTTGACTGATGTTGATGCATTCACTTCAAAGGTACTTTGGATAAAAATTAGCTACGTGATTATTTTTACATAATTATTTTTACTTTGTTGTGATATGTATAACAAATTATAACTAAACGTATAACTGAATATAATGCACAGGAAAATGAAGAGGAGGAGGAGGAGACGATTGCCACTTTTGTCACTGCGTCGGGGCAACAGTTGGCTCTTTACGCCGTGGAAAATTCAGATGAAATATTTGCTGTGACTGTTTATGACGAATCTGGCGAACCTCCGAGTAACTTTCAATTTCTTATGAAGTAAGTATGTAAAAAAAGCAAAAGTTGAAAATCTTGTTTCTTAAAGTGTAGTTTTTTTTTTCAATAAAAGACTTAGTTTTAAGAAAGTGATCTTGATTTTAGTCTCCTTGTTTTTTCATTTAATCTATTGATTATAAGAATTACAGTTACAAATGTGATTACAGAGCAGATGTAGAACGTTTAATAGGCGAGGGAGCTGTACGAACGGTGAAAAAACCGTCGCAGATGAAGAAACGAGTGTTGACTGCTCATCCACCGATGTTTTATCGTGAAGAGGAATTTGAAGAAGAGAATGATAGAACTTCCTGCGACACGTCAATCAACAGTAAGAAAGATATTGCACAGGAAGAAAACAGCGAACTAGAAACCAATTATGAAATCTACCAAAACTATGATGAGTCTGTCAAAATTAACTCAAAGTCTAGTGATAGTATTCACACAACTGTCGATGAACAATCAGATATTACGTATTTAATGATGGATGATAGTTTTGTGAATATTGGTATGTACAAAAGGACTAATAATAAATGTATCAAATAATATAAATTGTAAGATTGTTTTGAAATTTTAATATAACTTTTAACTTTTTTATGTAAATTTTAGCCTATGGAAAAAATGTATGTAATTTTAAAATTATTAAAATTTTGAGCGATAATTTAGATTCTTTTATTATAAACATTGATTTAAATGAATTCGTGCAATTAATACAGAAATATTTATTCTTATGTACAAGAGTAATATTTGTAATTTAAAATTATAACAAAGAATAATATTACTCTATAAAAATTATTCTATAGGAAAATTATGAAAATTTTGTTGTACACGAATAATTTGTTATAAATAATTACACAGAACATAGGCAACAGATATGTTCTACAAATGTATGTAGTCTGAAAAACACATTTTTTTTTAGCCGAACAGCTGGATGAGTGTCAGGATGATCTCGATTCCGAAGAAGAGCTGATGGAGCGTTCAACCGTTCAATATATCTTCCTAGAAGGTGATCATCAATCAGACTCGGAACTGACGTTCGACGAGATTCAAGCGACATTACAAAATATGAAAAATTCTCGCAAAAGGACGTCGGAAAAAAATGACAAAAAATTCAACAAATCGCAGAACGACCACTCTTCAAATAGCCAGGAGAATTTTTCAAAGAAGATTGAATTATCGAATGAAGTCGGGGATGAACTTGAGTTTCGCATGTCACCACAATCGACGACTGATCGAACATGTTTTTCCGGTTCGGAGAATGATCGGCAACGATTGATCGATACATTGACCGATTCATCACCATCGACAACTCTACAGACACCATTGAAGGTCAAGCGGTCGCGGAAGCAGCAACTGATCTCTGTAGACCGAGATGACGGGGAGATTATCATCCAACCGGCATCAATGTTGAATGAGGACATGGCCGATAAGAAACGTACTCGGAGACGACAGTTGCATTCGCAGTTACGTGATACTATGGCGAAAAGAATCAAAGAGACGAAGCGAATCAAGCGGAAGAAGCGGCGAAAGGTAAATGCCTTTCACAGAAACTATCAATAAATCAATAAAAAACTGTCATATTCATACTCTCGAAAATTTCATGTTTAAATTTGTGAACATGATCTGTTGATTTTATTTTATTTTTTTTTTTGATACTTTTAAATTGTTTTTACTTAACGATTAATAATTATGTATATTTTATGATTAGAAGTCACGAAATTTCAGAGCTTTTCAGAGAGAATAAAAAAAATCTTGAAGCAATTTACGATATTTTTAATCATTAACAAATTCTGACTTGAATTAACTTTTTAATGTGTCGAAACTTATTCGATAGGTCGTGGAAGTAATCGATCTAGATATGGATGAAGACGAACAACAGACGAGACGCAATGTGGTAGAGATCACTTTAGATGATAGCAAGGACAAGTACTCCAGCGATAAAGAGAACGAAATCATTATGGTGACGGACTCTGAAAACGGCGATGATGAGGAAGAAGAAGAAGAAGAAGAAGAAGATGAATGGCAGCCCGGTCGTTTGACAAAGCTCAATGGTGCAATACGATGCAAGTATTGTCCCAGGAAATTTCGTTATCGACGTACTTTGTCTATGCATCTTTTGGTATGTCAGAAATCGCCGAAGAGTAAAGATGAAAATCAACGAGTCAAAAAGCAATACACCTGCAAGATCTGCCAAGAGAAATTCGATGAAGTCGTCGCTCTGGCACGTCACGCTCGTGCAATGCACTCGCAGAGAAAGAAGCACAGGTTGAACCTTTCTCCAGCGAAGTAAGTGCGAATTAATGTTTGTTTTCTATTTTGGCGCATAAAATCACAAATTTTAATATAATTTTAATCATTGGTCTCAAAAAACTTCTTTTTCTTCTCTTTTTTTTGGTCTTCGCCTTTTCAATTTCTTGTTATTTATTTGTTAGAAGTCCGAGTAAATCCTTGAGATCAGTTCAACAGAAGGAAACGTCTTTAACGGAAGAGGAGGAATCAGTTGACGACAACAGTATAACAAAGAGAGAACTCCGTACGCTTGTCAAAGTAAAGAGAAAACGGAAACAAAAGAATCGCTCATTGGAGGCAAACAAACTCAATTGCGCGGATTGCGGTCGATGGTTTCCAAGTACCGCTTTGCTAAATGCGCACAGCTTGCATCATGGCACTAAGAAATCTGGTACGTATCAAAATTAACGAAAAATTGAATGATTAAGATGACAAATTTTAATATATACTGAATGAAAAATCTCTTGATACACAAATTACTAAAAACAAAAAAACTATCTTTAGATAAGAATCTATCTTTATGAAAAATATAAAAATATATTAAGATATAATATTATATCTTAATTTTTATTTCGAAGATAGATTGTAATTTGATTTTTTTATGACATTTTTTCGTACGCATAATTGATACAGATACTAATTATTTTTTTTCTCAATGACAAATTAAATAGTGAGTTAATACATCACAGTAGATATAAAATAGCAAGTGAAACTCAAGATTACTTACTCTAGATCATCTTTTTAATTTCATTGTTATTTTCCTTGTAGAGCAACTTCACAAGTGTCATATATGCAAGAAGCTCATCAAGTCTAGGTTAATGTTCCTCCAGCACTTGAAAATGCATAACGATGCCCAGCGCAACTCTGGCAGCTCGTCTAGAATACTACGGAGGAAATTGCGCGCCCGGCCGAGTACACGTAAAATTACATCTCCCCGGAAACGTGGTCGACCGAGAAAGTTCTGATTTTTCCCAGTCACGAACAACATGTATAATACTGTACTCATATCGTCATTGCTCGAATTTCTTTAAGCCTATAATAGACTATCGATTATGAAGCCAACTCGACTGCCGATTCACATTTTAGACTGAAATCTAAATCAGTTAATTGACGCCTCATTGTACCAAGCGTAGTCGATAGTCGTATTAACTTTCAAAATTGATAGTCCGATATGGGCTATTGTATTTCTTTTCTCAAATGATGTCATTTTACGATAAGACATTAGCTTAAATGTATATAATAAATCCATACATGTTATCTTTTCATTTGCGTTCGAAAATCAATTGTCGGAAAATCGAGAAATTTCACAAATTTAAACATTTTGTTTTTTTTTTTTAAGACGAATCTAATGATTTTAAAATCATTTTAAAGACCAAAGAATTTCGATTTAAATATAGTTTTAATAAAATTATACAAAAATGTTATTGACAACGGTAAAATATTTTTGATAAAATTTTACTAATATAAAAATGTTTTTCTATATTAAATCTCGATTTTCTGAAAATTTATAGTTATGATCTGTTGCTATGGAAGACTAAGATACTCCAGGATCTCATTGACTTCTGTTATTAACATGTATAATTAAGCACAGAACTTGTAAATAAAATGACTATGTTAGAAACATAGCATTTCAATTTATGTACGGATATGTATATACACAACATACACATTATATATATACAAAAATTAGGAAAGGTAAGTTGATAATAATAAAATAACGTGTATAAACAGTGTGATATATCGTTCATTGTATTTGCCTCTATCTTCGAACGCAATAAAATGAATAAAAAACTGCATATTCATGAATTAAAATTTTTTCTTTTCAGCTGTACATCTTGTTTAATATGTATATATACATATATAAAATATAAAAAATAATATATATTTAATATATTTATTTTATATGCATATATTTACATAATAAAACATAATAAAAATATAAAAGTAACACACATTTTTGTAATTTTTTTTCTACATTTGAAATGAAATATACAAAATAAGGATTTAATTTCATATTCTAAATTATCTCATATATCCTATTTTATTGATAAATTAGGAAATATTTTTGTTTCTGTTCTGGTAACTGGAAAAACTGAATGATATTTTGTAAAATTAAATTTCTCACTCTGTTCAGAAATTAATTAGGTCAAAAAAATACACATAGTAACAAAAATATACATGCAGATTCAGAAAAGTGTAACTGAAAGGAATAAATATATCACTGAAAGAATGATTTAAATAATGATTCAAGAATTAAACAATATTATTCAAAAAAAAGAATAGCAAAACGTTTATTACATTTCATTATTACAATTAAAGTTTTCTTTTAAAATCTATTGTACATTTATGTCATTATTATATCAATGTAAATTTATTATAAGTCAAAAAATTTAAATGTAGCTTCTTCAAGGAAGCGAATTTACCTTATACCTTTGCTTTCGCTTTATTCCAGGTTATTCTATCCTCATAAAATCGAATAACTATTTGAGGACACTTAGCATTAGCTTCTTTAGCAGATACCATGTCAACCGCATCTGTTCCTTTCCTATGGAAACAAAATCATCTTATTCATTATCAATTCAGTCTCAAACATTCTCGAATTTGTTTGCGTTAACTTCTATTTTTTTATATTTGTGTATCCAACTAATGCATATCATGAATCACAGATAGATACTTACCACTGCATCAAATACATCAGCTCTCCATTGTCATCTGCTGAGCCAAGGATTTTATCTGCTTCCAATCCTCTCTTGAATCCCTGCTCACTACTATTGCCTTCCACAACCTTTCTTCTGTTGCTCATCTCATCAAGAAAGTCAATATAAAATTTCTTTTTATTTTAATATCCTGATACTTGTCTTGCATGTAACATGACAAAAAAATTACCTCTGCTGAAAATAAATCCCAAGAACAAATAAATTGAGACAAATTGAAATTTCAATAATTTATAGAGAACTCTAATTAGATATTTAAAAATAGGCTAAAAATTGCCAAGATAATTAGAAAAAAATTGCTTACTTGCATTTGCTATGCTGAAGATTCAAATGATTTTTCCAACCACCAGTTTTATTTACAGTCCAGTTCACAATTATACACAATATATATATATGTACATATATGTGTTATAATGTTCTTCGATGTATTATAATATTAATAATCATTTTCATTTGTTCTATGAAATAGGATGAATAAGATAAAGAGTTATTGCGCGTATACGTCACCAATTTATCACAAGAATTCAGCATGTTACACATTCGTGTCATTGATAGCAAGTATATAGGAAAGAACGGATATTAGTTACATGTCTTCCACAATAAAACTTTGCGTGGAGAATTCTCTTTATGTGAAGGAAGATAAATGGTTTCAGTTTACAAATCTTGTTTTTAACCAACTGCAATGAATCACAACAATATTTTATTTTTTTTTACGCGCTCCCAGATGAAGAGCTCTGAATAAGTAGTTTTTACCGATAGTTTCTTCCGATGTATCAAATCACAACAGTAAACAAACATTCTAAGGTTACAACCACAAAAAAGAGTCCATCATGTAAAAACAGTCTTTTTACATCACGATTAACCGTCACAGTAACTTAAAGCCTGTATTGAAATACGTAGATAGAAGATTTATTAATTGGTTAGAAATGAACCAATCGAGACAGAGCAAATAAAATTAAAGTTATTCTATTGGCCGAATTATAGAACATGTTCAAAACAATTGATCCACAGATAAGAACCAATCATGTTTAATTGTTCGACAAATAATCTAATTGCTTTGACTGATTCGAACATACTCATAAGTGTCAGTCCACAATAGGTGATTTAAGCTTTAAGAAGTAAGAAATTGACCAATTATAATCGAATATGAAAAGAATACTCGACTATGATTAGTCAATTTCTTACGGCTTAAAGATTAAATACTTATTGTGGACCGACACTAATGCGTCCACAATAGAGAAGAAAGCCGTAAAAAATTGATCAAACACAATCGCTTGTTCTTCTATAAATCGATCACGATTGGTCAATTTCTTATGCTTGCAGCTTATTTCGTTATTGTAGACGATGACTTAAGCTTAAAGACATAAGAATTGACCAATCATAATCTAATATGAAAAGAATAATCGACTATGATTGGTCAATTTCTTAACGGCTTAAAGATTAAATGCGTATTGTGGACCGAGACTAATGGGTACTTTCCATTTAATGACACAAATCAATACAAGTATCGTTTTATCTTTGTTATTCATGCCAAGGTAGAAGGACGTTTATGTCGATTTATGTCATCAAATCGAAAGCATTTAATAAGGATTTTTTTCATCTTCAATTAATTTGAAGTGTGGTCAAAATCTTTCTTCGAAGTATTTGATTGACCAATCAAAATAAAGAATTTTATCAATTAATTGATACAAAATTCATTTGAAACATTTGTGACATCTAATTAACTGCACCCATAATCTGTCGATTATTCTGGAATTGACAAATTTAATAATAATCGCAATTGGTTAATTCCAATGGAATAATCGGCTCATTAAATTAATCAAAGATGGTGAAAAATAATAATTTCTAATCTTTGTTCATGGATAAAAATTTATTAAAAAAAAGAAAGGAAAAAAAATTAAAAAAATGAAAAAAATAAAAAAAACAAAAGAAAGAAATGAAGGAAAACAACAAAATTGAGAAACTGAAGAAAAGAAAAAAATAAGTTGAGATGGAAAAGACAAAGAAAAAAAAGTAAAAAAACAAGAAAAATCAATAAAAATAAGAAATAAAAAAAAACCAAAGAAATAAAAAAAAAAGACGAAATAAAAAAGCTAAAAAATAAATAAAAACGAAAAAGATAAGAAAAGATAAGAAAGTAAAGAAGATGAAAAAGATGAAAGAGAAAAGAACAAACTAAAGAAAAAAAAATTAAAGATAAAGAATAAAGACAAAAAGCAAAAAAAAGGAATTAAATAAAAAAAACAAAAAAAACAAAAAAGACAAAAAGAGAAAAAAAATACATAAATAAATTAATCTCTAAAAAAGAACATTACCGAAAAAAATTCCAAAGATGTCCATTTCCTCATTGGTCATCGAGGCAGACATCGCAGACATGTTTCGAATCCGCCATTAATCGATTATCCGTCCGTCCGTCCATCTGTTCATCGGCCAGCCAGCCAGTGTCCGGAGCGAACCATATTGATTTTTTGCGATGATCGCTGCTGTTGCGGGCGGTGGTGCGCAGGCCGTGGCAGTTAGGTGAGAAGAGATGCCCTCTTCCTGGCCCGCTGGCGGCCGTCGTTCGCACGCTGTCGACGCTGTGTGACGAGAGAGGAGCGCGTTTCTCGGCGCCACGCCGCGTGTGGTCCTGTCCTGCCTCCTGCCTTTCCTCGCTGCTGTCCCGTCGACGTGAAACCGTGGCCTGGCCTGGCCTGGCCTGGCCTGGCTCGGCCGCGTCGTGGCGATGTCGTCGGCGCTTCGGCACCGCGGTCGCGACATTTCCATGGAAACGTAGACGCGGCCAGGTGCGTGCAGGAACGAGTCGCACCTACGCCGCGTCCGTTTCCCCGTCGTCCCTGTCGTCGCGCCGCGCGATGTCGCGATTGGATCGTCGCGCGCGGTTAGGTTAGCCCGCGGGACGCTCGCTACGTCGATCCGGACGATTCAACGTTCGACGACGACGACGACGACGGACGACAGGAGCAGGAGAAGAAGATTCCGACTCGGTGAGATTCCTTTCCTTCCCCTCCCGATTGTATCTTTGTATCGTCGATTCGCTTGGCGGGAGGAGATTTTTTTCCCCCCATCGAATCTCGTCTTATCTACCTTGGCTAGATTTTTTGACTCTCGTGGAGATTTCTGTCATCTTTGTTCGTGATCGTGATGAATTTGAGTTGTTCAAATCTTAGTATAAATTATTAAACCAGTCGCTTTGCGAGCCCTCTGAATTCTTTAGGTTTCTTATTTTTTTCGGGTTATCAAATTTTTCGGGTCGCTAATTTTTTATATCTGCTAATAATTATTACTCTTACATAAACAAATAACACAGGTATCTTGTACTTTTTTAATTTGCTATAATTTTCTTCGTTTATGTGTTTGTTGTATAATTAATCGTGCAGGTGTATTTTACTCGAAATAGACGCGCGTTAACGTCGGTGATGTCATAGTGAGTACTTTTGAATGAAAAATCCAAGGATCTCAAAACGTTAACGATAATAAATCTAACTGTCGAGTTATCATAGTTATCTTTCTGATTAACATCTGTGGCAAGGAAGACTAGTTCTATTGTTACGTGGCATATTTCTGAGAAATTGCATCGAAGACTAAAAATTAAGAATGTAATTATAATATGTTATAATCGATAATCTGTGTAAGATAAATCTGTGGTGTGTTTTTAGCAATCGATCGGGAATCACGGTGGGTCAGAGGGAAGCGTGACGATTCCAAAGAGTGCAAGGCGGTGTCGGTGCTCGCATGCCGATTTGCTATTAGATTTTGTACAATGAGCAGCTGGACAGAAAGAATGCATCGACGCGCTGCTACGTTAGGAAATGTTGTAACCAGCTGCGGACATCCCTCCTCAGAGCCGCCACACCCAAGACGCTTGGAGAAGTTAGTATTACTTGAAAATCGCGCGTTTTAAATAATATTTTAATCCTTGAAACGTTTTTTTAGATTGATGGTAATGCTTTTTTTTCTACAGACATGCTGAAGATACATGCTTGTATTATTTTTCTTTACTTATATATTTTCTTTTTTTTAATGTAGGATTTCTTTGGACACATG